AATCGACTATATTAATTATATCTACTGAGAATGGACTTCACAAGTGTCCGAGTGATTGTAGCTCTTCTTCAATATTTGCTCATCTTTGCAAAGCCTTCTTCTGCAATGGACTGTGTCATAAAGTGTGTTTCACACTTGGCTTGTTGGAACATTGCAATTGTCAGCCCCGCCCTGTTCAATTTCGTTCAGTTTTGTCCACCATTTCGGCCGAGCATACTCCAAAATGACCATTCGCCATGAACTGGGAAATGGTTGATCGTTTTGGTAGCCGACTCGTCGACCTGCTCAGTCCCAACCTTCACGGGCTCGGACAGCGTCAAGTCGGCACGTTCCGCCCGGCCCGAGTTGGCCTCACCTTTCCGCGACGCACACAAACGTCGCTCGACAAGCCTGACTCTGGGCAAATTAGCCGCCCATCTTCAGCCGGTATCAGGCGTTCCGACTAATTAGGCAACATGTGCTGGCCAAGGTAACCGTAACAAGGCCAAACAAGAGGATACTGGAGGCGGTTGGTCTGCCTATAAAAGTTAGCGTAGCCACGTTTTGTCAAGATTTCGAGAGAAAACTCGTCCCAATGAGCCGAAGAAACTACTCAACTCCGGTAAGTGAAGCTGTGTGAATGCATGCTGCACTAGGGCGTGGAGAGTAAGCAAACAATGTACAAATTGATGAAATAAAGCAGAATTGTTAAGCATCCCAGGCCATTTTTTGTTATTCAATGCTATTGCATATTTTGATGTATTTTTATCTTTTTTTACACTTTTATTCACTAACACACTCTGCTGTTGTGCGAATGGGGTTGACTTTTCCGTCGGTTGTACACCAGCTCAAGCAATTCGTATAGCATTTTAGAAGTTGTTTGACCTTGTTTTCGCAACTTAGAGCAAACATCTGGCAATGTACCACATCCACAGTCATACTCTGCAAATGATGATGCATACAAAGGACCAACATGACCAAGTTGCGAAAATAAGGTCAAACAACGAAAGGAGACTGCCACACCATCTTGGTCTTCATACCTTCGTATATCACTATTTTCATAATAGTCAGTCATACTGATAGTTTAAAATATTTTTTCATAAATACTATTTCGGTTTTTGATCTGTTCGACATTTACGTACATTCCACGACTTAGGATTGCCAAGCCTCTGACATTGTGTGTTTGCCCGAATGCTATGGGATGGGCATGTGATTAAACTTGAGTGTACGAAGAAATTTTCATTTCGTGTGGAAGTACACGATGAAGAGATTCGCGGGTCAATAGCACCAGAAGACGCCGGCTGATTTGCATTGTACTGCAGCCGTTTGGTATTCACACGACGTCCAATTTTCCCACAATCATATGAGCAGAGCTGACGTGAATACATTTCATATTACCGATTTACTGGTAGTCTCAAAACTTTACTTA